TTCAATAGGGAAGATTGTTGGTATAGGTATACCACCAGCTTGGGAACCCATTATACAGGAGATAAAATCCCAACCCCGAGCACACACTGCAAGACCAACAGATACTATTAGTTCTTTTTGTTTGCATAATTTAACATAAGAAGGAGATAGAAAGCCTCTCTTGAGTTTGTTTCGCCGGTTCTTCTCAGAAAGGTCTCCCAATTTTGGAACGGGTGGTAGTTTACGGTAGTTAGGGTCAAATAAATAAACTCAAAATTACAAAAAAGAATTTTAAATAAAATACTTTATTAACTAAATTACGTAATAAATACATACATAGACAATAAAACTTTAAAAATCGAACAATGAAATAACCGAACGCTCAATAAAAGTCTTTCGAAGGTAGCTCGACAAAATTAAATAAACATTTGATTCCGACGACGTAGCCTGTAAAGGCTACGAAACGTCAATAAATAAATAAAGTTTCGTGCATTAACCCTGGAAAAACTAGTTTTATTCAAAAAGAAAATATTATTTAATATCTATTTCCAAAAGGCACATTTTGTATTAACTAATTATTTTTTGTCGAAACAAATACATTTATCGCTTTTGATATTTAAAGACGATAAACTTTGCAATTTACACTATGTCAATTCAACAAATATTTAAAAAGTTACAACGATGAAAAAGTGATAGCGCGGTCTACTATGCATGCTGCGGATGCGTACTGCGGAAATAGTGGGAGAAGAAATTTAATTTTTGTGTTTTTAAACGTTGATAAAAAAACCTAGGAGAAAAAGAAAAAATGGGCTACTCGCAGTATCTAATCCTATACAAAATACTTATAATACCTTAAATAATACCTTCTTATTAAATGATAATAAATAAATAATCACAAAAGGTATTTACGAATATTGAAATTTAATGAAAAACTCAGAATTATAGAGTTTTTAAGTTTATTTTAACGATATTACTTCATATTACACAATAAAGGTTACATAACATAATAAGAAATAACCTCTTTTTTGCTAGTAGGTACATACTTAATGGATTCCCTGTATTTGTTAATCAGCTCGCGATAATGTTGGTTTTGTAATAATTTATAAACGATAATTCTGCAAAATTAAAAGTAAATAATATAAAGTTTTATAGGTAAATTACCCCTTCCATCACTGTAGGCGTCGCCTATAAGTATTGCGATATTGTAGCTTAGAACCAAGGTCCCATCTAGGGAATTTCATCATAATCGATTTAGCTGTTATTATTAAAAAAAATATCCACCATTGAAAATCTAATGGGTCCCGACTGTTAAAGTAGCTTTCTTCCTTACTTAACAGAATTTTAGACTACTTGTTTTTTTCTTTTCAGTTTTTGTTTGAAGTAATATTTAAGCAGACGGGTTTTTTGATTTTTTAATTTTTTCTTCATAGAAGTTATTTTCAGAAGCAGGTCCTGAAAATAATCGTTCGCTATAAATACCTAAAAAGTGCTTCCATCCAGGTGTACATAAAAACACTCGTGCTAAAAGTGCCATCTCTGGTTATTTTGTTTTATGTCCGCCACTCGAAAGGTTCTTTATCTTTTCACAACAAACCTTCTTTTACATATGAGGCCACTCAGAAAGTTTTGCGAAAAAAAGTTTTTAAGTATAAGACACTGGCCACTCGTAATTATTTTGAAAACTTCGATTATTTAAAAGTTAAAATAGCACTGTTCGATTTTCAAATTTCCCTCAGCATTTTTTCGAGAGCCAATTAATTATTTTTTGTCATTAAAACTGGCTCTGTATCGAGAACATTTTCGTGCTATGATTTTTAACGATTTTAAATGTGGCTTAAAACCTGGTGAGTCATTTGATCGATTTCGAACTGCTTTTATGGATAAAAGACCTTCAAAAGCAACCATCTACCGCTGGTGTAGCGAGTTCAAACGCGGTCGTCTTATGGAGGCCATACACGTTAGGTTTTGCATGATGGTTTTAACCGTGCATTCATAACCGACATGCATAACCGAGTTACATGCACCGAAAACTACAGTTTTATCACATACACGCTAGGGCTTGCCTGTCGGTTATGCATGAACGGCTAGAACCATTATGCATAACCTAATGTGTATGGCCTCCATTACTTTGGGGGATGAACAAAGGAGTGGTCTTACGACGGCTGTCACCGAAGAAAGTGTGCTGGCAGTAAAAAAAATAATTCAAGAAAACAGACGAATTATATATGAAGAGATTCAGCATACCCTGCAGATTAGTTCAGGAAGTGTTCACAAGATTTTTCACGAGCACCTTTGCGTAAGGAGGATAATTTCCCGCTAGGTGCCGCATAACCTCACCGAAGCTCACAAGCAGGCCCGTGTGGATTGGTGCAGTGATATGATACAAAAATTTGATGCAGGCTCGTCACGGCGCATTTACGATATTGTGACAGATGACGAATCCTGGATTTATCAATGCGATCCAGAAACAAAGCGTCAGTCGACAGTTTGGCTATTTCAAAATGAACCAACGCCTAAGAAAGTGAAGCGATCGAGGAGCGCAGGGAAATTTTTGATCTCTAGTTTCTTCACTTTGACGGGGTACCTAATATCAATTCCACTTCGAGACCAAAGCAGCATCAACGCCGAATGGTATATAGCACAAAATGCCTGCCAGAAGTTTTTTCTGCAATGAGCAACAAGCGACCTAACACCGGGCTCCGCGGGGTCCTTCTTTGCACGACAACGCGGCCGCGCACTCTGCGATCAAAACGAAGAACTTCCTGGACTCCACACCAGTCACAGTCTTGGGAGCTCCTTACAGTCCTGATTTTGCTCTGTGTGACTTCTTTTTATTCCCTAAAATAAAAAATCAGCTCAAAGGGATACACCTTTCATCGCCGGATAAAGCGCTAGCTTGGTTCAGACGCATGAAACTTTGAATCAAGGTTGGTGGAGAATTCTTTAAAAATATATAATATAAAAAAAAAGTGTGTCCCACGTATAGTTAGCGATTTAAAGGCTTGGTAGTACTTCGTGGATCTGTTTAAATCTGTTTCGCGCCCCATAAAAAGATAGAACCGAATTATTTAACTCGTTTTAAAAATCATTTAACTAAATTCGGATTCTCGGGAAAACCTGTACTCGGCCCACCACTAATCATTATATAAAGATTATTCAAAGTTACGGAAAATTGTCCAATAAATTTAATGAACTCATAATAAAAATTTCAAGCATTGTTCTTAATAAATTATGGAATGTATAATGTTAAAGCCATTATATAAAAGCTAATAAAGAAAAATATGAATTAAAATAGCTAGACAATAATAGTGTGCACGTGAAACAGGCAAAACATATTATTCATGGTACAAAAATAAATATATTTTCCCGGAATCCCCAAAAGCCAAATGTGATTCTCGGAAAAAGATCTATGAACTCTTTTCTTTTACATAATGATGATGAATCTGATTTTACTCCACTGGTATTTTTATTTTAAAAAGAGATGGGAGACTCTCTTGACATTGCTTGCAAATAAAAATTCATGCATCATGAACAAAAATGTATGTTTCATTTTACTAGTTTATTACACCACAATAATAATTGTAAGATAAGTAAATTTTATAGTTTTGAAGTTGAGTTACGAGGAAACCTCATGAGTAAGTATTAGTTTTAGGATCCCGAACACAATTATATTTATTGACTAAATAAGTATTAATGACATGTCTCTACACTGAATTGATTTTTAGAACTTTTTTGCTCGACCTACTAAAATGTTGTATTAATGGACCAGGATGGTTTTATGAAAGTTGTATCAGTTCTATTTGCACGAATACGAGTTTCTATTACTATAAACTTATTTCAAGCTGTCTCCTTTTGTATTAATTTACAGCGGTAAATTCAGTGTCTTAATTTATTTAGTACCTAAACTAATATAATTGCTCCAAGTTATTTATGAAGAATTTATAGTGACACAAAAAAAATGTTACCAGATTTGGACGACACAGCACCGAAAACACTGACAATAAACTTATAAAATATTTTTAAAACGGTATTAAGATGTAAATAAGTATGTAAAAATTGTATGGCAATTGAATTAAAATCGTTAAGACTCCGGCTTTAAAAGCTAGTCCAATGAACCGAGATCAAGGTCTTGTTGTGGCTCGTTTTTATGCAACCTGTATGTAGAGGTACTATTCAACGTGAGACGTGAATCGCGGTTTTCGATTTTATTAACCATCAAATGAATAAGTAGTTTATTTTATGATATTGAATTGTTGCAGTACCGAATGTAACAGAACACTCAAAATTAGTGTTAAAAAGTAATCTTTAAATAGTTTTTAATATTTTTAGTACCAAGACAACAAACAAATTGTTGATATTTAGAAAGCTCCATAGATAGATGAATTCGCCCCCGCGTTCGCTCCTAAATCAAGATTGTTTATAAAACCTAGATGCTAATGTAGGTACCATTATTCATTATGAAGTTCTCTACAGTATACGGTACACATTTAATGTCAGACAAGGTTCATCATAATTATACCAAAATAACTCATTCTTATTTGAGATAGAGCGCGTAACAAAATTGGTTTAAAAATGACAACTTTGATGTCCCCTCGTTTTTTGTTATTAAAATAAAAATTATTAAAATTAGATTAACATATATCCTACTCAACGAGCTCTATACAATGATGTGTCACATGCTGGGGTAAAAAAGAAAAAAAGTCGTTTGCTTTTTATCTATAAGAAAGACCCTACATGCAAAGTAATTTAATTGAATTATTACTAAATATTCGGCTTTGAGCAAGCATTCTACATAAAATACCAACATTTCAAAACTGTAACTCATTCTATGGCAGACCGTTTTTACCTTATGAGTACGAAACCGTCAAAAGCTATCCAGTGCGCCGCAATTAACATAATCTTACCAATCTCCTTGCGATACACCAAGGAGATTGGTAGGATTATGTGCATCTAATTCTGTCCATAGTGTTGAAAGAATCAGATTCGCCAAGGGACGAGGACTATTTCCGAATCCGTTCCAGTTTCCACGGCTCACCATGCTGGCGGGCAGCCAACTCCGCCCGCGCTGGATGCACTCCGGTAGACACCAGTCATTCGCCCTGGATGCGGTGAAATGACAAAGCAGCTGATTGACATACATTGAATAAATAAATAATAATTCCTATACTCACACCAATCGCACGATCTCCGTGGCCAAGTGGTTTTAAGATGTCGCCTACTCGAGAGGTCCCGGTGTTCCAATCCTGGTGAGGGTAGATGTTGTGTGATGAATACAAACATTTGTACGCCAATCGTGGATGTTTAATATGTAGTTCTATATAAATATACTTATATATGTATCAGTTTAATATACTGATACTTAAATATATATAATTACCCTAGTTACTCTATCATCCCTTAGCACAAGCTTACAGTTCTTACTTTGGGAATAGGCTAATCGGTGTGAGTATTGGAAATATTTATTGATTTATTTAATCAGCCTAGCCCCAACGTAAGCACTGGAAGGCTTTTGTTATGAGATACTAGGGTAACGGGTAGAATACATATACTGATACATATATAAGTATATTTTTATCTAGAAATATATACTAGCATCAATGACTAAAGTACAAATGCTCATATTCATCATACTAGCATTTGCCCCCACTTGGACTCGAACGGGGACCTCCGAGTAGGCTATACCTTGAAACCCGTCGTTTATACCACTCGACCACGGAGGTCGTCATTACATTGACTATCTATCTTTTTAGGTTGCGTACCCAAAAAGTGTAAACGGAATCTAAGATGTACCTACGCCCGTTTGTCCTTCTGCCAGTAGGCTATAGTGTTCACAAACCTCATCAAACATGAACCAAAATTTATTGTTATAAATGCTTGAATTTTTTGTATTATTTAATAAAAAGATACCGATAATGAAAATAAAAGAAAATTAAGCAAGCAAGACAGTTAAATCTTGAACATGGTATGGAACCCTTCGTATGCGTGGCCGGTTCGCATTTGGCCGGTATTTTTACCATGAAGTCCCAAAACCTCTTCTCTCTAAGATGAGTGTGATAACGTTTGCCTATATAATGATGGGGTCAGAGGTCTTTACCTGTGACAGAATAACAATCCTACCAAAAGATAATACTTTGAGGTGAGGCTAGGCTAGGCACATATGTACGGTCACGCGAATTTGGGCGGAAAATACACTGTATCGGTATCTGGTCAACATAGAAAACTAACTTTTCTATATTGTCTCGACTCTGGATGCATCGTATATCTATTGATATCATCGTTGTATCCTGTTGTCTCCACAGCTCAGAGAAAGTCTATGTGTTGTGGTTACATATCTGATTTCCAGAACACTAGATTCTTGATCAGAGAGTTATTGTCTAATTTCTATTCATTTGTCCACAAAATTAGGTAACCACATTGTTATGGTTTTTTATACGAGAAGTGGATAACAAAATTTAACAATATGCGACATTAATATGAACAATATCGTCGCTCCAGTGCTAATTTGTTATATCGCCCAAATTGTCGAAGATTTACTTTATATGGAGTTTAGTTATGATTTAAATTTCTGTTGATCAAAGAATATTAAGAGTATGCGTATTTATTTTCCGTAGCGAAGTGTGTCCTACCATCCTACGGAGAGTCTGGATATATTCATTTTCCCACTCTCTCAAAAATATGAGGGTTCAGGGTATTTATGTTATTTGCCCCAATTGAATCTGTAAATAGCCACGAAACAGCTTTTTTTTAAATTCTAAAGAGATTTTCCAAAAATTACTATTTTTGACTGAATAACTTTTCACTGAATGTACATTATATCGATTACATACAAAAGAGCTAATTTTTCGGAGATTCGCAGTAACTAGTAAAATTAATTTCTCATTTCAATCTTAGACGAGTTAGATCACTTCACTGAAGGAACAGATTTACAAGGGGAGGTTATTATTACTTCAAAACCATATACATAAATTGATGTGATTTTTTTGCCCATACCTTGCCTATACTTATTTTTCTGACAACTATTAATAAAATTACAATAACTATAAAACAATAAAAAGAGGCTCATTTCACGACAAAAACAATTGAAATGCGAGTCTGTAGGTACTATAGCAAAAATAGCCCATTGTTGCATATCAAATGATTCTTCTTTGGACCTCACTTAATATTTTAATAATGATGATTCTTGTTTCAAAGTCGGACTAGAACAAAAATTTACAATAAATTTCGTTTAATCTAAGCATAATATTATATTATTTTCCACAGCTGTTTCCCATTAAGTAAACTTTTCTTAGCCGCGCGCCATCTATCGCTGCCACATGAAATCAACAAGTCTGCTGCTGTCGTGCTTTACCGCGTATTGTAAAAATAGTACACTGGCGGCGCTATGAGGCAAGATAGTACCGCAACTGTAAGCTTTGATAGCTAGTTTTCTCACTCGTTTGCGAGTCATACTAGCACATTGTACCTAATTTTCACATCTTTTTCCCTACGAGTGGAAAAACTTTAACGTTTCTTATAAGTACTTATCTTATACCACACAAATTTAATGACACCAACCTACATTTAAGCGACTTCTAGCAAAAACAAGCCTAACCTTAAACCAAACATAACATATTTTTTTTATTTGCTCCAATATAAAAGCTGTAAGATGTTCTTAACTTAGAATACTCTTTATTGAGTGCATTTACAGTACTGATGTAGGTAAATGTCTGGCTTTGTTGTAATTTATTCAAAATTTTCTACAATACGGTAAATCAACTTTCCTTGAGTACCTAATGCGTTCTTCCATCGCTGTCATTAAATTTAGGATTAAGTTAGAGTTGAAATAAATTTTGGTGCAAAGTACAAATCGATTTAAATTGAAAAAAATCTTTAACAGTTTGCTTGGTTAAAGGTTTGTTTTTTTTTCACAGTTGGATGACGCCACTCTTCAAGTGTTCAAAGATGGTGACTATGGACCGTATCTGGACTTGGACTCCACTCTCGGAGAGCAGGATGAAGAATTGGAAGGTCTCCAAGACAAGTAAGTTCCTAACCAATGTTATTGTTTTAATATTTGAGAGAAATGTACTTACTTAAGTATACGTTGCGCTTGGTATCTGAGACCGAAGCCAAAAGCACGAACTTTGCAAGCTCCGTAATCGTATCCCATGTGGTCAATTTTTTTATGAAAACTAAGCAGCGCCTCTACCGGATCTAAGAACAATACAAAATTTGACGATGACAATACGATTAATTTATTATCGTCAAAGTTCGTACTTGGGCCTCGGAGCCCTCACTCTACCCTGTAAGTACACGGAAGACTGCAAATAAATAAAACTACGTATTATTACCTACCTATGGAGATTATTGTTTTTGCAGTTAGTTAAGTTTCCGGTGCTCCACTAGGAAGAGGTTGGAATGTTGGATTCGGAGTAGGCAATGCGTCATAACTTAAAGAAACACCTCACACCGATTTCGTCACTGTTTTTGTTTAAGTTTTTTTATACGCTGTAGAAGATTCTCAAGGAAAAAAAAGTTGCGAAGAAAATTAATTGAAAATTTTAAGTAAAATACTGACAACTCTATTCGAAGGTTTTTATGTTTTTATCGGGCAAGACAACCTCTTTTTTAGTCCGCTAGTCTATAATATAAAAATGAATCGCTGAATGTGTTGCTAAGCGCAAATGTCGAGAACAGCTGAACCGATTTCGAAAATCCTTTTTTTAGAATATTCCTTGAAGTACGAGGATGGTTCTTACGCAGAGAAAAATAAAAAAAAATGCCTTAAAAAGTCCAAAAACAACACTTTTCTATACTCTCATACAAACGATTCGTAATAATACTTAAAAGTCAAATAAAACTAGTTTTTACGGGTTAATGCACGAAACTTTATTTATTTATTGACGTTTCGCAGCCTTTTCAGGTCTGCATCGTCAGAATAATGATTTTTTATTTAAAATTGTCGAGCTACCTTCGAAAGACTTATATTGAGCGTTAGGTTATTTCATTGGAAGATTTTTAAAATTTTATTGCCTATGTATGAATTTATTATTTAATTTGCTTAATAAAGTATTTTATTTAAAATTCTTGTTTGTAATTTTGAGTTTATTTATTTATTTGACCCTAACTACCGTAAACTACCACCGGTTCCAAAATTGGGAGACCTTCCTGAGAAGAACCGGCAAAACAAACTCAAGAGAGGCTTTCTATCTCCTTCTTATGTTAAATTATGCAAACAAAAAGAACTAATAGTATCTGATGGTCTTGCAGTGTGTGCTCGGGGTTGGGATTTTATCTCCTGTATAATAGGTTCCCAAGCTGGTGGTATATACCAACCATCTTCCCTATTGAAATTTGGATATTTTTTAATCTCAATAGCCTCGCGCATCATTCAAGGAACGAACCGCCGCTCAGATGCAAGGATCTGTGGTCTATCAAATCTAATGTAGTGGTTTGGTCCCCCTAATGCATGTTCACACACTGCAGATTTATTTTCGCGCCTATGTTTCATATCTGCGATATGTTCTTTTACCCGAGTCCCTATACTCCTCTTTGTTTGCCCGATGTAGGAGAGCCCACAGTCGCATTCAAGTTTGTAGACACCAGCAACTTGAAAGGGTATATTGCACTTGACCGGTCGTAGGAACTGGTTGATCTTCTTTGGCGGCTTGAAGTATGTATTGATTGAAGCACGCTTCAGAATCTTCCCAATCTTGTCAGTGACTCCTTTCATGTAAGGTAGTATAGCAGTTTGTCGGTCGACTGTGCTAGGTTTGACGCGACTGTGACGGCGGCGTGGTACATTCAGGTTATTATCCTTCAGTACTTGCTCGACATGCTGAAGTTCAGCTGCCAGGTGTTGTTCGTCACAGACACCCCGTGCTCTCTGAAACAAAGAGTTTCCTACGGCAGTTAATTGTTTCGGGTGATGGTGTGAGTCACCATTGAGGTACCTATCAGTATGAGTCACTTTACGATACACAGTATGTCACACCCAGGCTATATAAGCGGTACGTAGATGATACTTTCACAATCCTCCCAACAGATCAAATTTCTGCCTTTTTAAATCACCTTAACTCTATACACCCCAACATCCTATTCACTATGGAGTTAGAGGCAGATAGTAAACTAGCTTTTCTAGATATTTTATTAATCAGGAATCCTGACCAAAGTTTAAGCCATACTGTGTATCGTAAAGTGACTCATACTGATAGGTACCTCAATGGTGACTCACACCATCACCCGAAACAATTAACTGCCGTAGGAAACTCTTTGTTTCAGAGAGCACGGGGTGTCTGTGACGAACAACACCTGGCAGCTGAACTTCAGCATGTCGAGCAAGTACTGAAGTATAATAACCTGAATGTACCACGCCGCCGTCACAGTCGCGTCAAACCTAGCACAGTCGACCGACAAACTGCTATACTACCTTACATGAAAGGAGTCACTGACAAGATTGGAAGGATTCTGAAGCGTGCTTCAATCAATACATACTTCAAGCTGCCAAAGAAGATCAACCAGTTCCTACGACCGGTCAAGTGCAATATACCCTTTCAAGTTGCTGGTGTCTACAAACTTGAATGCGACTGTGGGCTCTCCTACATCGGGCAAACAAAGAGGAGTATAGGGACTCGGGTAAAAGAACATATTGCAGATATGAAACATAGGCGTGAAAATAAATCTGCAGTGTGTGAACATGCATTAGGGGGACCAAACCACTACATTAGATTTGATAGACCACAGATCCTTGCAGCTGAGCGGCGGTTCGTTCCTCGAATGATGCGCGAGGCTATTGAGATTAAAAAATATCCAAATTTCAATAGGGAAGATGGTTGGTATATACCACCAGCTTGGGAACCTATTATACAGGAGATAAATCCCAACCCCGAGCACACACTGCAAGACCATCAGATACTATTAGTTCTTTTTGTTTGCATAATTTAACATAAGAAGGAGATAGAAAGCCTCTCTTGAGTTTGTTTCGCCGGTTCTTCTCAGGAAGGTCTCCCAATTTTGGAACCGGTGGTAGTTTACGGTAGTTAGGGTCAAATAAATAAATAAACTCAAAATTACAAACAAGAATTTTAAATAAAATACTTTATTAAGCAAATTAAATAATAAATTCATACATAGACAATAAAATTTTAAAAATCTTCCAATGAAATAACCGAACGCTCAATATAAGTCTTTCGAAGGTAGCTCGACAATTTTAAATAAAAAATCATTATTCTGACGATGCAGACCTGAAAAGGCTGCGAAACGTCAATAAATAAATAAAGTTTCGTGCATTAACCCGTAAAAACGATTTATTTAATGAGTGATGTGCGTGAAAACCTAAGAAACAAATAACTTAAAAGTCAATTTGAACCTTAATACCATACCATAAATTTCAAATGTAAGTGGAAAGGTTCCGGGTAGGCAAAACAATCGAGTAACGTTCGAGTAAAAGTTTGGAAAAGGCAAATATACCATTTTCAGTTTTTTTTATAATTATATGAAGTCATTTTAGTCTATACTACAGCTCTACACCGAAGCGAAGCGAGGGCGGGCCACTAACTAGTATCTTTATAATTATAACTTTAAAAAGTCTCTGCACCTAATCAGCAAGAGCAGACGTTATCCGGGCAGCAACAGGGATTGACTCGATATATTTTATATATGTTACGCTCAAAGATTGAAAACGCTCAGTGAGCGGAAAAATAGCTCACAACGCGTTGTGGTCACAGTAAAACATTAACATGGCGAAATTCGTGTTATTGCTCTAATGAAAACGCGCACGACGCGTTGTGGCAATCACAGAAAGAACAAATGGCGAAATTCGTGTTGTGTCCACAACGCGTTGAGATCGAATAGCATGCTATTCGATCTCAACGCGTTGTGGCAATGAAGAAAAGCCATGACGCGTATGGAATATTATTTGATTACGACGAACACTACTTTCCGATATGGATCCTACTAGGCCTAGGCTGGAAACGTTTTGGTAGATGTTTTTAGGAAATATTTTTTATTTTATAAAATCACTACATAACGTGTTAGTCATTATTAAATATGTTATATAATTATATAAATTAAAATAAAACGATATTTGTTATTTATTGAGATTATTACTTAAAATTTAAAAAAATCAACGTATTAAGTAATAAATAACCGAACACAAAATATCAATCATTTGTAAATTACTTATAATTCACTTAAAATAATGAGGGATTTTAATTTTTTTTAAATTTAAAATTCTTTCAAGTAATAAAAATATTTAACATAACCATAAATGTTTATTGATCACCAATAAACAACAACAATGTACTTAAATCAATTACTTATATTAGAAATTAATATAATTGAATTTTTGAACTTGAGCTTTCTATTCCAGCTTTAACCAACTTTTCAGTATCACCAATCTTTAAGACATCATATCGTTTAAGACGTCGATCGATACTGCTTCGAAGACAGAGACTCGTTGTTCTTTTTAAGAAGCTGAGACTGTTTTGTTTCTTTAAGTAACATTTTATATTTTTGTGTAAAAAAAACAGCGATCAGTGCTTATTTCCACAAACTCACATAATTTATCGTAAAACACTTCTTTTTTATTCGTCATAATTAGCGCTAACATTAAAATTCACTCTCATAAAGAGAAAAGAAATGAATAAAACTGATGTTTCAATGCGTCTTTGCACCCGGGCCAACACCGACAAGTTACAACCTATTCGTCGTGATATGGTTAAAATAATGAATGCTCAGAACGGGTCATGGCTTTTCTTCATTGCCACAACGCGTTGAGACCGAATAGCATGTCAACCACAACACGAATTTCGCTATTTGGTCTTACTGTGATTGCCACAACGCGTTGTGCGCGTTTTCATTAGAGCCATAACACGAATTTCGCCATGTGGATGTTTTACTGTGACCACAACGCGTTGTGAGCTATTTTTCCGCTCACTGAGCGTTTTCAATCTTTGAGCGTAACATATACATTAAATTAAAATAATTTCACAAACCTTCGTCTTATACATTACCGTATTTTATCTCCTTATTATCATCTCC